TGAGCCCGTGACCTGAATAGGGACAGAAGTTATGAGGTGAACTTTATGATTTAGTTGGCCGATTTTTTTAAAATCGTTGGTGGTAACGTCGGCCGAACAAACGACCGATTTTTTCTTTTATCGTTCGAAAAATTGGCCGATGTTCGACCCGTCTATGGCCTGCATAAGGATATAATCTAGTGTGACCGGCTGTCTACAATTCTTAGAACAAGTTTGCAGCTCTGAAAAATCAGGAGCCTTTATCACGATGTTTGTTCTGTAGTAGAGAAGTAAGGCTACGCTCACACTAGCGTTGTGTGCTGGCAGCAGAGAGGCGTTTGGGAAGCATTTTTTACTGCTTCCCAAACGCCTTGGACAATTCTGCCCATTGCAGCACATGGTGCTGTTCTAACAGGAGCATTAGCGGCGCGGCAAAAACGGACGCCTCTGGTTGAGTCAGGAGGCGTTGAAGCCTCCTATTCTAGTCTATGGTGCCACTCCGGAAACGCCCGTCCGGCTTTTGCGGTGCGGTTGCGGGGCGTTTCCGGAGCGGTAACAACATTCAAACTTCATTATAGGCGTTTGTGGGGCGTTTTTAACGCTCGGCAAACGCCTAGCAACCGCCGCTGAACCGCGCATGCGCCGTTTGCGGAGCGTTTGCCGAGCGCTGGAAAACGCTCCGCAAACGCCGGACCAACGCTTGCCAAACGCTATAGGGGCGTTTGGCAAGCGTTGGTAAAACAGTCAAGTGTGAACGAGCCCTTAGAGGTTAGTATGGCAGCCAGGCAACAAACATTTGTAGAATGAGAAATTGGCAGTTGCAGCCTATGTGGTTGATTTACTGGAGGGTGCAGCTGTGCATGGGAGCCAATCGGCTTCAAACGTCCGCTTGCTCAATTAAGCTTAGACAATAAAATCTGGAAGCTGATTGGTTTCTATGCAGAGCTACACCAGATTTTTCACTCTCCAGTTTAATAAATCAACCCCAGTGTGATCATTTTTCTTTCCAGTAAACGATCACAGAGACCAAGTTACCCCAATCATCCCTTTTCTCCATCATGGATATAAAATCACACAAATCTAGCAATAGCACTTGGCTTGTTCTGGTTTAGTACATCAGCTCGTGTTTTGGGATTGGTTATCATCCGCTGGTAATGCACGGTACAATATCGCCAAGTAATAAATGGAACCAACTATGACAACTGAAACCCATGGAACTCTGTTATGCAAATGCTGTTTTTGATTGAATAGTTGCCCTTACTAAGTAATACTTGACTTTGGCTGACCTCCTCCTACCCCCACACCCCTTGTTGGTCCATTGATATAATGGATGGCCTTGCTGGCCAGTACTGGAATACAGGAGCTGAGAGAACCCGGGGCTCAATTTTGTAAGGTAAAGCCATTATTTGCATAATAGAACGCTGGGTGGTTCAAGACTCCTGGGACTTTCAATCACACACCATGGAGCAAAAAAGTATTTAGTCCCCACCAATTGTGCAAGTTCTCCCACTTACAAAGATGAGAGAGGCCTGTAATTGGCATCATAGGGAGACCTCAACTATGAGAGACAAAATGAGAAAACAAATCCAGACAATCACATTGGCTGATCTGGAAAGAATTTATTTGCAAATTATGGTGGAAAATAAGTATTTGGTCACCTACAAACAAGCAAGATTTCTGGCTCTCACAGAACTGGACGTTCTTCTTTAAGAGGCTCCTCTGTCCTGCACTCATTACCTGTATCAATGGCACCTGTTTGAGGTTGTGGACAGGTATCTTTTATACTGATAACAAGTTCAAACAGTCACACTGCAAACTCCACTATGGTGAAGACCAAAGAGCTGTCGAAGGACACCAGAAACAAAATTGTAGACCTGCACCAGGCTGGGAAGACTGAATCTGCAATAGGCAAGCAGCTTGGTGTGAACAAATCAACTGTGGGGAGCAATAATTAGAAAATGGAAGACATACAAGACCACTGATAATCTCCCTCGATCTGGGGCTCCATGCAAGATCTCCCCCCATGGGGTCAAAATGATCACAAGAACGGTGAGCAAAAATCCCAGGACCACACAGGGGGACATAGTGAATGACCTGCAGAGAGCTGGGACCAACGTAACAAAGGCTACCATCAGTAACACACTACGCCGCCACGGACTCAGATCCTGCAGTGCCAGACGTGTCCCCCTGCTTAAGCCAGTACATGTCCGGGGCCCGTCTGAAGTTTGCTAGAGAGCATTTGGATGACCCAGAAGAGGATTGGGAGAATGTCATATGGTCAGATGAAACCAAAATAGAACTGTTTGGTAGAAACCCAACTCGTCGTGTTTGGAGGAGAGAGAATGCTGAGTTGCATCCAAAGAACACCATACCTACTGTGAAGCATGGGGTTGGCAACATTATGCTTTGGGGCTGTTTCTCCCTAAAGGGCCCAGGACGACTGATCCATGTACAGGACAGAATGAATGGGGCCATGTATCGTGAGATTTTGAGTGCAAACCTCCTTCCATCAGCAAGGACATTGAAGATGAAACGTGGCTGGGTCTTCCAACATGATGATGATCCCAAACATACCGCCCGGGCAACGAAGGAGTGGCTTCGTAAGAAGCATTTCAAGGTCCTGGAGTGGCCTAGCCAGTCTCCAGATCTCAACCCCATAGAAAACCTTTGGAGGGAGTTGAAAGTCCGTGTTGCCCAGCGACAGCCCCAAAACATCACTGCTCAGAGGAGCGGCGGATTAGGTGAGTATATCTCCGCTCTGCAATCCCCTAGACCAGGGGGTAGGCAACCTGCGGCTCTCTAGCTGTTGTGGAACTACATTTCCCATGAGGCATTGCAACATTACAAAACTGACAGTTACAGCTATGACTTGCAGAGGCATGATGGAACTTGTAGTCCTGCAACAGTTGGAGAGCCGCAGGTTGCCTACCCCTGCACTAGACTAAAACGGGCAGGTAACCCATGCAGTACAGACACAGCCCCACTGCATGGTAACATGTATGTATTTTCTGTGCTCGAAGAGTGGAAATGCCTGGAGGTAGAAGAGGCCAAGAATATTATCCGTGAAAAGAAGAGGTTTTAGGAGACAACAAAGAAAGAGAAGTTCTCAAGTTCTAAACGGTAGAAGTAACCTGCAAACCTAGTATTCTTAGAGATATGTTAAACATGAATATCCTCTGATTAAATGAGGCGGGGTTCAGGCTAATAATTGGGGTGTATGCCAACAAAAAAGTCCATCTTCCATAACAAAAAATGACCCGTAAAGAATGCTTCTTGAGAAATAAATGGGTATAGCTAGTAATGGTTACTTTCAGCTGGACTGGTTTGGTAATTTGGGAGAAAAATTTGGTCGCTTATCTAATCTACTACTTTGGCTCTAGAACAGTTTTTTTCAACCAGGGTCATGTGACACCCTGGGGTGCTGTCTGGGTTCCTGCAGAGTGCCACAAATACAGGACCCAGTTAGCCCTGGATCAGCATCGTTAGTTGCCATCATGTCGGGTGGCCACCAGCACCTCAACAATCAATGACACTAGGGCCAGGATGTACAACACCATTTGTGTCTATGATGTTGGTGTCCAGCTTGTTCCAACCAATGTAATGCAGGACTCTGATCCAGGACAAACCGCATGCAGGGCCACACTCAGCATTCAGGAGAATATGGAAATCTTCTCCCATGTATAGGGGAAACTCCAATGTATAAAAAGGGGCTCCGACATCATGGGTGGACCTCTGATGTAAATTGGGAACTCTGATGTAAATGGGTAACTTTGATGTGGGGGGGGGGGGGCAGATGTGAAGAAGGGATTTTGATATGAAGGGGGACCTCTGATGTGATGGGGGCTTTTGATGCGATGGTTGCTGGCAGAGATAGCAGAAGATCCTGTGTAAAATACACTCCTAAAGCATTTGATGTTTAGACACTAGTTATCTGGCACCTTTGTTTATGCCTTTTATATGCTTTTACATTCATACTTGTGTAAACCGGAAGATGTGTAGTTGTGTTCTACTTTTTTTTAATACTACTAAATGGGTTGACATATTTCCATTTGTAGACACAGCTGTGTGCATGGCCCAATCGATTCCCATAGTGCTGAATTTTGATGCGTGCAAAACTATAAAACTGTACACATTTGAAGGCTACATTTTAGACGCCCGTGTGAATGGCCCCTAATGCAGAAGAGTCATGGGGTTAATTAATAAAACTGGAGAATGCAAAATCTGTCGCAACTCTGCATAGAAAACCATTCGGCTTCCAGCTTTTATTGTCGGAGCTCAACGGAACAAGCTGAAGTCAGAAGCTGATTAGCTACCATGCAAAGCTCCACCAGATTCTGAGTGCTCCAATTTTGGGAAATCTACCCCATAGCAGGGATATCAAACTGGCGGCCCTCCAGCTGTTCCAAAACTACAAGTCCCATCATGCCTCTACCTTTGGGAGTCATGCTGGTAACTGTCAGTCTTGCAATGCCTTGTAGTTTGACAACATCTGAAGGGCCGCCAGTTTTACACCTGTGCCCCATAATGTCTCATCTGCTTTTTGGCAAACTTTTTTTTTTTTTTTTAAACACACGTCAACGCACAGGCAGATTTCTATGGGAATGTGAGCCCTAAGGTTCTGTTTCAAACAATGCTTAGCAAAATAGTATTGAGGTAAACGGCATCCAACCTGTAAGGACTTAACATTTCCTGTTGTATACAAGAAGTATTATACAGTATATATGTTCAGCACAAAGATCTGTGGACATGATGGCAGCAGCACAAAAAAGTCATAAAATGTGGGCTTACAGGTTATCTTTATGTTCTTGTAGTCAAAGTATTTTCTTTGGCCGAAGGGTCCCAAAACATTTCACCTTTTGTGTAGATACTATTTCTATATATCTCTCCACAAAGTATATACGTATTGTACGACGCCAGGGCCAATTTCCTCCTGAGACGATTAACCATGAAATTTAATCTCGTTTTCTTTTGTCTTCCAGATTGATATTTCTTACCATCAAAAACTGAAAACCAGTCCAAAGATGGCAGCTAATAAGCCTAAGGGGCAGAATTCCTTGGCACTACATAAAGTCATCATGGTGGGAAGTGGTGGTGTAGGAAAATCAGCGTTAACTCTCCAGTTTATGTATGATGAGGTAAACACAAAAAGAGACCACTTTGCACCTTTATGTACACATGGAAGCAAGTTTAGCCCTTTGGTCATTACTGGATTCCAAAAATGTCATTGTAAATGGTATCTAAAGCCATAACCTTTCTTTTTTTTTTTTCTTAAAGTGTTACTAAACCCAGGACCCCGCATTCACTATATCTGATCTCCCCGGACCCCGCATTCACTATATCTGATCTCCTCCCGGGACCCCGCATTCACTATATCCGCTCTCCCCGGACCCCGCATTCACTATATCTGATCTCCCCGGACCCTGCATTCACTATATCTGATCTCCCCGGACCCTGCATTCACTATATCTGATCTCCCCGGACCCTGCATTCACTATATCTGATCTCCCCGGACCCTGCATTCACTATATCTGGTCTCCCCGGACCCTGCATTCACTATATCCGCTCTCCCCGGACCCCGCATTCACTATATCTGCTCTCCCCGGACCCCGCATTCACTATATCCGCTCTCCCCGGACCCCGCATTCACTATATCTGATCTCCCCGGACCCTGCATTCACTATATCTGATCTCCCCGGACCCTGCATTCACTATATCTGATCTCCCCGGACCCTGCATTCACTATATCTGATCTCCCCGGACCCTGCATTCACTATATCTGGTCTCCCCGGACCCTGCATTCACTATATCCGCTCTCCCCGGACCCCGCATTCACTATATCTGCTCTCCCCGGACCCCGCATTCACTATATCTGCTCTCCCCGGACCCTGCATTCACTATATCTGGTCTCCTTGGACCCTGCATTCACTATATCTTCCCTCCCGGACCCCGCATTCACTATATCTGCTCTCCCCGGACCCCACATTCACTATATCTGCTCTCCCCGGACCCCGCATTCACTATATCTGCTCTCCCTGGACCCCGCATTCACTATATCCGCTCTCCCCGGACCCCCGCATTTACTATATCCGCTCTCCCCGGACCCCGCATTTACTATATCCGCTCTCCCCGGACCCCGCATTCACTATATCTAGTCTCCACAGTACACACAACATGGAAGTGCAATTATTTTAGTAAGTATAAACTGCGAAATAACCTTTTCTCATCAGCAGTTAGAGCCGTCTTGTGACTTCTATCAGTATTCAGCAGAGCACATGGTTTTTAAAGCTTGTAGGAGGAGTTTTCCTTCTGCTCTAAGAGGATGCAAAACCCCTGACCTCTTTCTGGACAGTGCTGATTGGCCCTGTGCTGATCACATACACTCTCCCAAGAAAAAAAAACCTCTATAGCAATATACACTTAACTGAGCATGTGCGAATGGCTAGGGTTCAGTCTGTCTTATCAGGAGATAAGACATTTGAACAAGAGGAGGAGCAGAGAAGTCAGGATTAAACAGCCTTTTTACACAATGCGGAGGATTAACCCCTTAGGTCCCACAGTGAGTATAACCAGCATGCTTTACTGCATCTACAGATTGGTTTTACTGTTGTGGGTTTAGTAATACTTTAAGATCAGGAAAGCGTTAGCAACCTTGCCAAGTTTTATAGTTGTTTGTGCCCTCGCTGGGGAGATTCACCGTCTTTGTCAGTTTTCACTGGAACTAAGAGTGAGTGAAATCCAAAATCTTGAGCAGTCACTGGAACCAGAAAGTCTTCCAATGGGCAACTTGTTACTGTGACAACTGTCTAAAATAGGATTTCCTAAATAAACGTTCCTATGAGCATTTGTACCAGAATTTGTTGGAAAGTTCTCATTACACTTCATTAATATCATTCAAACGTAATTTAAAATTATGTTGGCTTTTAACACTCGATTTTGAAAAGAATGGACTTTTTCGAGCGAAAACCACATTCCCTGTTAGAAATTTGTTAATTCAAGATTACATTTCCATTCTGCCCCTTCACATTTTTTTGTCCCTGTGGTTGAAAAAACGAACATTGGTTTGACCTTCGTAATGATTACAAAATCAGACAAAGGTTCTTAAATAAAAAATTCTAAAGAAATGTCCAAAGAAATTCTGGTCAACTTTACTTTGGAGAGAGTTTCTATTTCTTCCTGTTGTGTTTCTTGAACAGGAGGTGTAGGGAAATCTCCTCAATAATAGGACACTGACCAAATAAAGTTTTAACATTTCCTTATTTTATCCAAAGCTCAAAGTTTTGGCTTTAAATATACTTTATCTCTGAAAAACACTCTTGCAGCATAGGATTGAGTGTAAGAATTGGAACCTTCGGAATTGCATTACACCCTGTTCCAAATTATTATGCAAATTCTATTTAAGTGTCACAAAGATGAAATATTTTTGTTTTTCAGTGTAACTCATGGATGGCATTGTGTGTCAGGGCTCTTTTGATCACTGAAAACAATCTGGGACACCTGTGATAATTAGATTGGCCGGTGAGCCCAATTGAAGGAAAAACTCCTAAAGGAGGGCGTTCCACATTATTAAGCAGAGCGCCATTTTCCAGCAATATAGGGAAGAAAAAGGATCTCTGCTGCTGAAAAGAGTGAAATAGTTCGATGCCTTGGACGAGGGATGAAAACATTCGATATTTCACCAAAACGTAAGCGTGATCATCGCACTATGAAGAGATTTGTGGCTGATTCAGAGCACAGACGGGTTGGTGCAGATAAAGGCACATTGAGGAAGATTTCTGCCAGATCCATGCATCGGATCAAGAGAGCAGCTGCTAAAATCCCATTACATAGCAGCAAACAGAGATTTGAAGCTGCTGGTGCCTCTGGAGTCCCACGGACATCAAGGTGTAGGGTCCTCCAGAGTCCTCCAACTGTGCATAAACCTTCTATTCAGCCACCGCTAACCAATGCTCACAAGCAGAAATGGCTGCATTGGACAGAAAAATACATGAAGACTAATTTTCAAACAGTCCTGTTCACTGATGAGTGCTGTGCAACCCTGGATGGTCCAGATGGATGGAGTAGTGGATGGTTGGTGGACGGCCACCGTGTTCCAACAAGGCGGTGGTGGAGTCATATTTTGGTCCGGAATCATGGGAACAGAGTGGGTCGGCCCCTTTAGGGTCCCCGAACGTGTAAAGATGAAGTATGTGGAGTTTATGACTGACCACTTTCTTCCCTGGTACAGAAGGAAGAACTATGCTTTCCGTAATAAAATCATCTTCATGCATGACAATGCACCATCTCATGCTGCAAAGAATACCTCTGCATCAATGGCTGCTATGGGGATAAAAGGAGAGAAAGTCATGGTGTGGCCTCCATCCTCCCCTGACCTCAATCCTATGGAGAACCTTTGGAGCATCCTCAAGCAAAAGATCTATGAGGGTGGGAGGCAGTTTACATCCAAACAGCAGCTCTGGGAGGCGATTCTGACATCTTGCAAACAAATTCAAGCAGAAACTGTCCAAAAACTCCCAAGTTCAATGGATGCGAGACTTGTGATCTGCTATCAGATAAGGGCTCCTATGTTACAATGTAACGTGACCGCTTCAAATGTTTACAAAGTTACAATGTTGGGAAAAGTTTGATTGAAATAGCTTTTGATTTCAGTAAATATTTGCTGCAAACACAACAAATGACAATTTTCAGTTCTTTACAACCTAGAAAGTGTTTTGAAACTTCCTGTGCGGAATAATTTGGAACAAAAATCCTGTTATCATTAGGAGGTTTGTTCAATAAAATGTGAATTGTCCTCTTCTAGTTGTAACCTGAGAATTCTGCCGACTTATTTACATCAATTATTGAGGGAAATGAGAAAAATATCATCTGCAGAATAATTTGGAACAGGTGTGTAGAGGACTGTGGCGCTGCTCTTCCTCTTTACAAAAGTAGTGGGTGGGCCAAACAACACATTTTTGGCAGTATGAATTCCGATGTGTGTTTTTTGTTCCGGGTTTAGTAGGTAATCTCTGCATCCTCCCTTCTATTCTGAATAGAACTAAATGCTCTGTTTGGGGTCATGAGTGCAGAGGGCCATAACTACCCGCATTCAGCTTATTTCTGCACCCTGGAGCTGCTGCAGTCAGCAGGCTGTAGAAATCAATGACAGGCTGACAGGCAACGTAGCAGTACAGATGAAATCCCAAATCAGTTGCATGTGTACAGGGATTGCTGAGCCACCCTGGACTTGCTGAGCCACCCTGCTTGCTGAGCCACCCTGGACAGTAAACCACTTGTGTCCAGGGCTATAAATGTGTTCTTTTATGCATGTGCTCTTATATCTGTAGAGCTGTGGCATCTGTCACCCTGAATACTCTGAATTCTGGTGGTGTTCTGCCCTCTTCGTCTGTGTGAATGATCCTTTAGACCCGCTTTTAAATAGATGATCATCTGTGGAGTGGGACAGTTGGCAATCATGAGTATACTATAAATCTAGGCTATAATTGTTTTACTTTGTTTTCTAGTTTGTAGAAGATTACGAACCAACGAAAGCGGACAGTTACCGCAAGAAAGTTGTGTTGGATGGAGTTGAGGTCCAGATTGACATCCTGGACACTGCTGGTCAGGAGGATTATGCCGCTATCAGAGACAATTACTTCCGCAGTGGAGAGGGCTTCCTCTGCGTCTTCTCCATCACAGAACAGGAATCCTTTGCTGCTACTGCAGATTTCAGGTGGGTTTTTCTGTTTTTTGTCCAGAAAAGTAATAAGAAAAAGAAATTTAATAAAGAGAGTTGCATTTTCTTTGAATTTATAGTCAGTTCAGTTATAATTGTTTTGTTAAGATCAACATTGATGACACACTTGAGTTTTTTACAGGAACTCAAACCCTTCAAACTCTCTAAACAAAGGGCCAGTTTACTGTCCTTCAGACTTTATGGGAACTAGACTGTGGCCAGTAGGGATAGAAAATGCCCCAGCGTCAGTGGGAGTAAAAAATGCCTCAGGCTTGGTGATCAATGGGATTAAAAAAATGACATGATGTCTCTGGTCAGTAGGATGAGGAATAGTTCCCCATCATTGGTATTAGTAGGAGGAATAGTGACCCTTTATTGGTATCAGTGGGGTGCCCCGTTGTTAGTGTGAGTGGAAGGAATGGTGCCCCATTGTTGGTATCATTGAGCATAATAGTGCCCCATTGTTGGGATCATTGAGAGTAATAGTGCCCCATTGTTGGTATCATTGAGAGTAATAGTGCCCCATTGTTGGTATCATTGAGAGTAATCGTGCCCCATTGTTGGTATCATTGAGAGTAATATTGCCCCATTGTTGGTATCATTGAGAGTAATAGTGCCCCATTGTTGGGATCATTGAGACTAATAGTGCCCCATTGTTGGTATCATTGAGACTAATAGTGCCCCATTGTGGGATCATTGAGACTAATAGTGCCCCATTGTTGGTATCATTGAGAGTAATAGTGCCCCATTGTTGGGATCATTGAGAGTAATAGTGCCCCATTGTTGGGATCATTGAGAGTAATAGTGCCCCATTGTTGGGATCATTGAGAGTAATAGTGCCCCATTGTTGGGATCATTGAGAGTAATAGTGCCCCATTGTTGGTATCATTGAGAGTAATAGTGCCCCATTGTTGGTATCATTGAGAGTAATAGTGCCCTATTATTGATGTCAGTGAGAGGAATAATGCCCCAAGGGCCATATAGAGGTAAGCAAGTGGCCTCATCTGGCCCACAGGCTGCAGTTTGGAGACCACGGACTTAACCTACTTCAAGGTAATGGCATAATGTGCTAGCATGCATTTCATACCAGCACATTATGAAAACCTTACCCTAAAACTAAATCCCTGTACACACGATGAGAATATCGGATGAACAATCGCCTGTTTTTTTTTTTTTTTTTTGCCTGTTAGTCTCACATCGAAAGTGAAAAGGTTACTAAAGATACGAAAATTCTCCTATGAAAGAAAAGAATTTTGAAAGTGATGTCATGTATTGTATTTGTATCGTATTTTTTTCGGATGACTACTGTACTGATTAAACGGAAATCGTTCAATCTGGTATCATACGAGAAAAAGTTTGCGCTTGTCCCTTCGGTCATTGTCGCACAAACTGTTGTGATCAGTCCTCGAAAGCTGTGTACTAACGATCTGATTATTGGACGATTGGTCCTCGTAGGAACGTTTTTGTATGATTTTCTTCTAGTGTGTATGGGGCATTAGTCATCCAGCGGTGCGTTGTCACAGCTATCAGGGCTTCCGTCTTCAACTGGTCTTCCTTCTGATTCGTGGGCACCAACTGCTTGAATGTCTGAGCTGGGATGACGTCATTCCCGCACGTATGCAGGGGAGCCATGACCATGGCACAGCGCTCTGAAGGGATGGCGTACTTTAGTATGGTATCCCTTGAGAGCGCAGTGCATATGTGCTGGTGCAGCAAAACGTGAATATCCCCTAAATGGTGCACGTTTAGGAGGCATTCATTCTATCTACAGGTAAGCTTTATTACCCACTTGCTCTCCAGAGGATTTACCCCCCTTCTTGACCTGGCCATTTTTTTTCATTACGGCACTGTGTTACTTTAACTGACAATTGCGCTGTCATGCAAAGCTGCACGCAAATTACATTTATGTCCTTTTTTTTTGCCACAAATTGAGCTTTCTTTCGGTGGTATTTGATCTCCTGTGTGGTTTTTATTTTTTGCGCTAAAAAAAAAAAGACCAACAATTTTGAGAAAAAATAAGTTTTTTGGCATTTTGCTTTAAACATGTCCAGTAAAAAAATTATAAAAATCAAAATTCATCATAAATTTACATAAAAATGTATTATGCGACATGTCTTTGCTAAAAAAAAAAAATCCCAATACGTGTAAATTAATTGGTTTATGTGAAAGCTATAGCGTTTACAAAATGGCGGGATATATACTGGATTTTTTTAAATTTTGTTTTTACTAGTAATAGCAGCAATCAGCGACTTATAGCAGGACTGCAGCGGATATTCTGACTCTGGGAGAAACTGACTTGGTGTCACTGACATCCCCAGTGACACCAATACAGTGGTCAGTGCTAAAAAAAAAAAAAGCGCTAACACTGTACTAATGGCACTGGGCAGGAAGGCGCTAACATGAGGGGCGATCAACGGGTTAACTGTGTGCAGGTAGTGTTTTACTAGGGGGCTGTGTCAATGTGCTTCACTGTAATCACAGTGCTCTGGATGGCTGTGCTGTGCACAGTCATCCAGAGCAGTGTGCCCGAGCTGACAGGGAAGAGGACTATTAGTAAACAAAACAGTCCTCCTCCCCGTTGGAGATTTTTGGAAATTACCAGGCGGCACCTGGTGATTGAAAGCCATGGCCACAAATGGTGGAGCGGGTTGGGCGCGCGTTCCCTACTTGAAAATGCAAAATCACATATATATATATATATATATATATATATATATATATATATATATATATATTGTGGGAACTCGCTTCAGAGTGGTAGAGCTTTTCTTGTTAAAGCACACAGCAACTCGCTTCTTTAAGGGCCTTTTGGCCCAATTTTATTTACAAGAAATTTCAAATAACAAAAAGGCTTCCCACACAGGGGTATCCACCATCAAACAAATTCAGCCTTCTGGCTCTTTCAGCTACACAGTTTTATATATGTCTCCTACAGACATTCCACAAGGTTGTTTTTGCACACAGCAAACTTCTAGCACACAGCTAGTCTGGCTTCCACCTCTCCTTGGTGAAGCCCACCTGACTCCAAGGCAGTGACCTCCTGTCTTCCAGGGTGGAGCCCTCCTGACTCCTGTCTGCCGGGGTGGAGCCCTCCTGACTCCTGTCTGCCGGGGTGGAGCCCTCCTGACTCCTGTCTGCCGGGGTGGAGCCCTCCTGACTCCTGTCTGCCGGGGTGGAGCCCTCCTGACTCCTGTCTGCCGGGGTGGAGCCCTCCTGACTCCTGTCTGCCGGGGTGGAGCCCTCCTGACTCCTGTCTGCCGGGATGGAGCCCAGAATCATGGCCTGGCCTCCACAAAAAGGCCTGCACACACCTGTGCAATCAGCGCACTGGCTGCTCCCAAAATATGGGCCCAGGATTGGAGATTTCATCCCTCCCAAATCTCTTAGAAATCTCCAGGCTACAGATCCCAAAACAGGCTTTACAAACCAAAGAGGAAACGGATAAACCAGTTTCCTCTGCATTATGAGAACTGCCAGGAGCCCCTCAACCTGTATGGTTGAGAATCCTGGGTCTCCATCGTGATTTCCACCGTGGCAGGATACCGTACTGCCACAATATATATATATATATATATATATATATATATATATATATATATATATATATATATATATATATATATATATATATATATATATATATATATATATATATATATGTGATTTTGCGCACCCCATGCCGCCCTGTAGCAGTATTTCTGCTATAGGGTGGGCGGGAAGCTGTTAAAACTTACCTGTACGTAAAAGTTGCAAAGTGGACTTTACTGCTGCTTTAAAGGGTTTATACAGCCCCTTTTCTTTTATTTTCTTTTTTGTCTGTGTTCCATTGAGGGGCATTTCATTTCATTTCTATTCCAGAGACTCAACAGAGAGTGAAATAAATCTCTACAAGATGAGAGGAAATCCTGTGAAGCTAGCTATGTACCTTACAATCTAATTGCACAATCAATCTTCAATGGCCCAATTCTAGGTATCCATTCATTTTCTGTAGTCAGACAGGTCCTTGTTCTGCATGGTTGGGTTTGTTGGTTCCTGTAAATAAAATTGTGCAATCAAAGTGTAGGTTTGAATAGTTTTAATTTGGATCAGGTTTGCCCATCAGAAGGTTTTCCCTCACTTCCTGTTCAGTGACAACGGTAACATTGTGGGTTTTTCTTATTACTTTGTGTCCTAATGAGACAAATGGGCCATGAATTGTCCTTTCCTTTCCTCTAACCCTGTGTTAGTGATGTGACAGACACACCGTGAGCTGGTACCTGTTTCATGGAAACACAATTCACGTGACCATTATTATCAGTATGGCAACTTTAAAACCGCTTGCACCTAATTCAGGGAAACCTTGCAACCGTTTTGCAGATCTTTCCAACTGTTGTGCCAAATTCAGAGTCCTTATTACTCACTTTTAGAATCTATTCCATGGGTTGCAATTGATTCTAAGGAATTATCACCAGTTCAGAAATCAGTAAAGTGGCGTTAATGATGCCAAACTCTGAGCTCCCATACTGAGGGAAGCCACTGCTCAGAGTGGTGCATTTTGTGCTGGGAAGCTGTCACCCTGAATATGACAGCTTCCCTTACAAGGCTCTCTGGTTGCTGTGCCGCCAACTGAGGACTCGGTTCATCTTCTAGCCGGGATATTCGCTGGTCGTCAGGTGAAAGTGAACAGGCAGGGATGCTAGGGATGTCCTTATCCAAATATAACATTTGCCTTACGGAGAAGCAACAGAAAAAAAGTCTACAAAATAAATTCCACTGATTATTATTCAGTGATGAAGTTGGACATTCCCAGGGTAATGCAGACATACTGCTTTGTATAACCGCTGCCTGGGTGTATCAAAGGGAGCCGAGGAGATGCTTCTTTGTCTGTGGCTTTAGAGGGCAAGGGTCAGAGGAAATGGGGCTCATTGGCCCTTAGATGTGGTCCTTCCAATGACATAGAGAATTATTACCAGGTTCACACAAGACGGTCCCCATGGCATGAATTCAGCTGCATTGTTATGGAGGAAACCACTTGCAGTACAAATAGACTGGTTTTCAACTCCTTTGCTGGTGGATCAGTACATCTGGACCCATCATGTCTGCCAATGAGACCCATAACAAGTATAACAAGAATCGGTAAGAACCTTAAAGTGGTTGCAAAGGCTGAAGGTTTTTCTACCTTCATGCATTCTGTGTGCAGCAGTGGCCCCAGCCCCCTCAATACTCACCTGA